CTTGTAATGTAATTTCATTTGGCATTTTAGACAGTCGGTCATTTTCGAGTGTTTTTATCCAGTTTCTCCTCGAATTTTCCACTTTTCCAAGCCGGTTTTGATTGGGAAAACTGTCAATTATATGCGATCCCGAAGGGCCGGAGTTATATGCGAGCTCGAAGGGCTAGAGTTTTACGAGAGCCCGAAAGACCGGAGTTATATGCGAGCACGAAGGGCCGGAGTTATATGCGAGCCTGAAGGGCCGGAGTTATACGAGAGCCCGAAGGGCCGGAGTTATTTTAATCACGGGGGCTAGTTTATAATTCTATTGGTCAGCGGATAATTTGGAGCCAATCAAAAACTGGGAATATTCAAAATGCGATTTTCAGCGCCCAATCAAAGAGCCCGGGAATATTCAAAAACTTTAGTTTTATTGTTGACTTTGGAATGTTGGTTCTCTATTGGGTTTTCTTAAGATTTTTACTTTTTTCAGAAAACGGTGGTTTTTGCAAACATATACTACTTTATCGTTGTCTTTGTCTATTCTACTATAATCAACAAGTAAACCTTGTAATGTCATTTTCATTAAAATTAAACTAAAAACAAGTTTCCAATGCTTTATTATCTAGGGAATTTTAATTATTATAATCATTATTCATTAATTATTAAATTGAATTTTAAAAAAAAAACCCTTTTAAAATATTATTTTTGTTTTCCGAGATGTAATGTGGCAATGTTGCTTTTAGTCGGCCATTTTGAAGTGGCGTCTCGTGATTTTTTGCCAGCTTTTCCTCGAATTTTCGACTTTTCCGGGTATTCTTAATGGAAAAAAGCGATTTAATATATGAGGCCTTGAGTTTTCTTCATTTTCTAGCAAAAATTTCCACTTTTAATTGCCATAATTAGCAAAATCCCATTTAAAATGCTTTTGATGTGGCAACACCGCTTGTGGCTAACTTCAATCAAGGAGTCCTTGTAATAAATATCATTTGTCATTTTTGACAGTCAGCCATTTTCATTTGACATGTTTACCTTTTTATCCAGTTTTTCCTCGAATTTTCCACTTTTCCGGGCTGTTTTTGATCGGGAAAATCGATTTAAAGTACGAGGCTTTGAGTTTCCTTCATTTTGTATCAAAAATTCCGAGTTTTTCAACGGGGTAAGTAACAAAAATATAAGCTTCATCAAATAGGCTTTGGAATGTAATTTTTCAATGGTTTTTCTTTGGATTTTCCGCTTTTTACCTATTTAAAGTACGAGGCTTCTAGTTTTTTTTTATTACGTGTTACATTGGTGACGTCATCTATTTACGAGTCAAAAATTATTGTTATATCGAATTTGGATACAGAAATACAAGTTAATTAGAATATCGACATTAGACTAAGTAGGCAGTAGGCTGACTCTTTGAGAATTTGGAAAAAAAAAAAAAATTAAAATTGTATCAAATATACCAACGTACTTTTTCAAAACGAATGGTACAGAACCTAGTACAATTGTACCACCTCTGGAAACACTGTTTACGACTAAGAACTGGGGTGTCTTGATTTTCCACAGAGTCCTATTCTTCACTTTTGTACCTAGGCCCAAGCCAGGCCCTACTCAGTTTAGGATATAGTGTTTGTCATTATTGATCACCACTCATTTTGAGGCTTGAAATGACAGCTTTTGGGCGTGGCACCCAAAAAAAGTTTCTGCCTCCGGCGGCGCCTGCGGCATGCTACCACCACCGGCACCTACGTGAGGGTGCTATATCTCTATGGAGCGGCGCAAATGTTCTTTGCACGCGGGCGGCCGATACCCTAGGATCGGCCCTGTCGTTTAGACGATCCCCTCGATCTCTAAATGCTGCTGGGATCCTGAAAAACCTTTCTCTATCCCTTTCAGCTCTATTGGAGCACCCAACAATACTGCAAAACGAAGGCATCTTCACAAAATATATTAGATTGAAAATTCATGGTTTGTATTTAAAATAACACTAAATCAGGTTATGTTTGGCTTTTGTCTGCCCCTCAGCTAAAATGGCGGATCGGTTATGACGTCAACCTGGAATGCCTAGTTCGAAGGATAACCTTTTACGTACCGTTGGGCGATGTGAAAACAACCCTTATTTGAATAAAAAACAGGGAAAAAATCCACAATACCATTTTTAAATGTATGACACCATCAAACTTGGGAGGGTGTTTAATATGAGCCTCAAGTACGTAGTACGTCCAGACCTTTAGAATGGACGTACTTAATAGCCATATTAAACACTCTTTGAGGTTGATGGTAACAAGTTTTTCTTTAAAGAAGTTGTTTTGTAGTTACCTATCAGTATTTCAATAAAGGTCGTTCTTCGCGCGAGGGCATTTAATTAGAAAATGCACAAAATTTGTAAATTAACCGTTTAGGTTTTACAGCCTGTTAAAGTTGCGAAAAAGTTAATTCCCAACTGTCAATATTTCCAGTTGAAGATAGGTATATGACATTGTACACGAAATATGTCTAGAATTTTGCGCAGAATCAAGACATGTCATAATTTACAGGGGCTCCTGTTCAAAAAAATAAACTTGATAACCATACAGTTGTGCTTGGAACACAGTGTATGAAAAAATTGGCGTGAAAAAATCTTAAGCAAAAGAACAAAATCGACGTGTCCGAGCGTTTTTTCGAAAAGTTCCCCATTTATCTATTATCGAATTTATTCCATTTGGCTGATACACAATGTAGGTATAGTTAGTTGTCCTACTGAAAAATGGAATTTTAAAAATCCAAAAAATAATATTTGTTTTTTTTTTTAAAGTTCATCATTATATTGCTAGAGTAAACATTTATAAGTATATTTTATAATATATTTGCGCTTGCTGACGAGATTGATTATTTTTAAATAAACAAATTATTTTAAGTTCAAATATAACTTAATGAAATAATCTTTAAGTCGACTTTATACTGATAACGTTAATTTATTTGGATAATATCATGGGTAGGAATGCGGACCAACATATTCTACAAGATATAACTATTAAAACAGAGATGAATCAGCCTACTCTTCCTCCGAAAATCGCTAGGTAATAATTATTGGGAATAACATTTCATGATTTCTAAATTTAATTTATTCAGTTCTATATTGAACTTCTATAAGTTTTAAGAAGTTTATGACTTTTGAAAAGACGTCGAGGGTCCTTTACACCAATAAATTTTTAGTTTCTATTTATGAATCACGACCGTGGAAATTTGAAATTTTTTCCAATCATTTCCTCTACGGATAGACAAATAATTTCTTTTTCTTTTGTTTTTCTTCGGTGTTCTCAAAAGTTATTCGCATTAAGGTAAAAATAAGAATCCATGCGGCCATACCTCTTTGACATTAACAAAGCACGTCCCATTCCGTTTTACACTGGTTGTAGGCACTATCTAATAAAGATTCCGTGCAGAAAGCGCGGAGTGCAGCTTCATTCTTGATAGAAAAAGAATCGGTGCAAATAGTGTGACATAGCACTGCAGAAAGAAAGTTTTGGTGTCGATAGTGAAGGAAAAAGCAAAACGATAAAAACAGCTGATAGATATTGAAAAAAATGTTGCTGTGTGTTGCGTTTCTTTTGGCTATAAATTTGTTGCTGGATGGAAAATTTGTATCCTATTCATTCTAGCAGCATTCCATCTTGATCAACTAATCAAGTACCTTGAGACTGTTGCTGAGTGTCATTGAGAACGTCGTTGAAATGACACTCTAGGGTATTGTCGTCCGACATTCAAAGAGCTAACCCTATATGGACCAGTCCACAACAGACACCGCACCCTCCACCACCCAAGTCGACGTGATTAAACTGAGGAAGAAAATGGAGAAAATGACCCGACCTATTCCTATTTAATTCTAGGAACTCTAGATCATGGCGAATGTGGTAGACCTGGACTTTACCCCCATGTAGAAAGGCGCTCTCGCTGCTGACTCTGTTGACTAATCGGCTGAGGCCTTGACCAAAGACTCAGGCGATTTAGGTCCCATGAAGCTACACAATTCAGGAGAGTGAAGACGACGAACTCACGACCGTTATGATAATAATCTTCAATCGCGAGACACAAAGGTCGAATTCAGGTTCCGATATTGCCGAGGAACATTAACGAAGAGCTCGCCATCTCATGCCTATAGAGAAAAAATTCACATCAAAAAAGCCTCCGTCAGCAGCGAATTGTATGCTTGCCCCTATATATCCACGGCTGAGGACTACAGGAACACATATACCTGGAGGAGAAGAAAATCCCCTACCAGACCTTCTAGCTTTCCGAAAATAAGCTGCGTCAAGATCGTTTGATAAAGTCCTGGAATCAATTTCGACGGTCGCCGCCAAGGAAAAAATTAGAGAGTTTAGGCTTCCACTCTGCCTCCGTCTCCAGATGGTTCTGGAAGACTAGCGCGAAGAATGCATAGCCGATGAAGTGTGTTTTCGTCCTCCTGCAAAGGGAAAGATAAAGACGTATATGATACCGTTGTGCGTTGTCGGAGCTTTGGAGGCTCACCAAGCTTCGATAAGGGTACCAGATTTGGTACCAAAACATCAGCGAACAAATTCCAGAAGTCGTCCGAGCCTAATCCAGTAATATTTCATTAAGATAAAATTGAACTCGAAGCAGTGTATTTTATTTCATAAAAATAATCTGATAGGTAAAATAGACTCTAATCAGGGAGCGTGTACGTAGTACATAACTTTTTTTTCATGCTTTTGCACCTACTTGGCATAATTTATAAATAAACTCGAAAAGAACCATTTGATATAAAGTGCCTCAAAAATACTTCCAATATGAAGCCTAGATAGTTTACAATAAGTAAACATTCTAAATAGTACCTAACATAAAAATGCAAATGCGCATTGTAAACGTGTAAACTAGCAAAACAAAAAATGTCTACCATAAATTATAGCCTAAAAATGCACCTATCCTCGCAGTCCAGCCCTGCTACGCGAAGATAATTTACTCAATAATATCTACCAGCTCGTAACCTATTGAACTCGAGATAATGCTGTCATTTTAGAATCTCAAAATGACCCTAATGGTTTCTCTTTCGTCTGAGATTAGTTTGGCTTAGGACAACTAGCGTGTTTATTAAATTACGGCGAACTTTATAGTGTTTTATTTTTATGAAGTAAGTGCCAATGAATTAGGAAAAATGAAAAAAGTGATACTTTTGGGAATTATAAGTGAACTTCTACTTCTGGTTCTATCACAGCATGCTAGTAAGTACCTACATAAATATATCCTAATACATATATACATTTATTTTTTTATTTTTTTCAACTTTTGCCAAACTAGCGACAAATTAATAATTGTTGCTTATCTGCTTGCTCCTATATCTAATAACGAATTTTGCCAAATAACTGAAATTAAAATATTGAGATAACATGAGACATAAACTTCAATATTAGATAGGTTTTAAATTTTATCCTTTTGAATTTCAACCAAATTCAACAAGAAGAGTGCATTCTTAAGATGAAAACAATGCAAATACCGAAAAGAGAAAATTTAGTCGATAAAATAAGAATGGTTGAAGAAAATTTAAGAAAAAAAAACAATACCTTTTTTTTCACAATAACTCTGTAGATAGGTACATATTTGGTTTTTAAAAATTAACACAATATTTATTTGATTCAGAAATCGACAACCCATCCAATGCGAGAAAATGCATTTTTAATAAGTAATTTAATAAGATTTTTTAAACTAGTGCAATTAGTTCAATATATACCTAAATATTAAACTGGGTTCCAACCATTTTTTGAAGACACTATTGCTATCTCATCTCGGAAACTGTTGAAGATAAGAGAACGAGGGCGATTGAATTAGAAAAAAATTGCTATTTCCGAAGCATAGATATTTGAGATATATTTTCCTTGTTGCCAAATTTCTATTAGGTAGTTTCGGAAATACAGGGTGATTTATAAAAACCGACGAAGATAATTTTGTAAAATATTGCCAAATCTATTGATTTTTAATAATTTAAATTTGAAACACTAATATGTTATTAGTGTCACGGATTGATTGATTGAGGGTCCACTGAAACTCACTTTACAAACAGTAACAACTTTCATTGAACAATAATTGACTTCACAAAAATTCACTGATCACTTATCGAAACGTACTCAAGAAATCTCGTATTTTAAGTAATCTATAACAACACTTTTATTTAAGCTTAAGTCAACTGACTCCAACTCCTAACTGAGTAACCACGAGCTATTTATAGCCGTCATTGTACTCGCGAGTTAATCGAATACAAAAGAACTCCCCGAATAGTCGCGCTAGATGCAAACAACTCGATTCTTAGAATCAGGCCGGGTTGTTGATGCAATGTCGTATTATTAGGTTATACTATATAGGTCGTTTCCTTCCCAATAGGCATAATCAACCTTATTTTTTTTTTACGAACCTAGGTTTTTTATTTTATTTTTTGTTAACTTTGGCCATACCGAAGCCAATATTGCATTCATCATCGAATCATAAAAAAAACCCGAAACGCAACGAACAGTTTCGAAATTGAATGCAGTTACTTTCTTGAGGAGAGGCATTGACAATATTAACGTAGAGTTAGTTTTACAGAATCTTTCTAAATAAAGTCAGAAAAAATGAGAAGTACGGCGAGTCCAAGTTTTTGCTAAAGGATTAAGTTAGGTAAACATTGCTAATTAATTGGTGTTGAAATGTTTGCTTACCATGTTACTATGAATAAAAATTTAAAATAAATGGAATTGTGAGATTATTGAATTTATTGAAAGGAAGATAGAAAATTAGGAACTATGCAGCGAGCCTGATATTAAATGGAAAACCACTATCTACTTATCTACTTATAAATCTTGTTCAAAGTTTCCGCGTTTTTCTCGATATATTTTTGAGTTCCTAAGCGTTAATTGTACTACTTTCCACTTTTTAATACTTTTAACTTCGTTGAAGTTACCATTTTTTTTTCTCAAATTCCCATCAAAAGTTATCGCAAGGATTGAGGAACGACGATGACTCCTACCTTATCTTTATTATTGGTTCCAATTCACGTTTCATGTTCATGCAAATTTCTGTTTGAAAAACTCGGTCATAGCGGCAAAGTTGTGAGCTCCATAACTATCTTACAAAAATCGTTGAATTTTCCGTAATGTTGCAAGACATTTCATTCATAATTTCTGACACCAAATAGACGAAGGCTACGCCATTAGCGAGATTTAGTGATTTTTTTATTAGAGACCTCTTGCATCTCTACTTTTGATGCCATTTTACTTTATCGCTTATTTCGGGCATGCGCATTGACAACGAAATACCCCTTATTAACCGATAAAGTTTGACGTTACCTGCGAGTGAATACGGTATTCCGTATTAACGCAGATAATCGAACATGGTTGCCTTTAGTAAAACGTTAGGCTGAAAAATTAAACATAAAAAATTATTTCTCGAATTTATAATGTTCTATATCTTATTTGATTGAAAAGCAAGTGCCAATTTTTCGTTTATTCGCCTCTTTTGGCCGTATTGGCGTATTCTGCAAGAAAAGTAGAGAATATGTCCAATAAGACTTTCCGGATGTTTTTTTCAATTCAAACGAAAGGCAAACTAGGAAACATTTAATACTTTATAGCAATAAGTAACATGATCGTTTACAATTATACTTGAAAAACAATATCCAACAAATGGGCACCGCGGCTTCTCAAAATTTTCGATCACATCTGTGCAGATTGCCGGTGGTATCTCACGAATAATGCGCGGATTCTCATCTTTCAACTCTTGAATTTTTCGAGGATTGTTCACATACGCTTTACTTTTGATGTAACTTGACGAAAAAAAGTCTAATGACGTTAGATCGCAAGATCTAGGCGGTCAATTAACATCCCCATTTCTTGAAAGAAGTTTATCCCTCAAACCCTGTTTGCAATAAGTCAATGGTTTTTCTTGTTGTGTGACATGTTGTGCCGTCTTGTTGGAAAAGTAAAGCGTAAGTGAACAATCCCCAAGCCATTCAAGAGTTTGAACATGAGATTCGGCGCATTATTCGTGAATCGTGAGATACCACCGGAAATGTGTACAGATGTGATCGAAAATTTTGGCAAAAGAATAGTGTGCTGTGAGAGAAGTCGCGGTCGCCATTTGCTGGATATTGTGTTTCACGTATAATTGTAAATGATCATGTTACTTATTGCTATAAAGTATTAAATGTTTCCTAGTTTGTTTTTCGTTTGAATTGAAAAAAACATCCGGAACCTCTTATAGGAACACCCTCTACCTGCGCTGGCAACCGCGTATACAGGTCTGGCAAGTCAACATCTCACCGGCCAATTTTAATGCAATAAAATGAAATGTCTTGAACAAGTCTAAGGTTAAATAGAGAAGGAAAACGATTTCCCCTGTTTTTGAATAAAAAAACAAAAAGCTTCTGCAGATAACCTAACAACAAGCAAACAAGAACTAGGGACGAGATGCGAAAACTAAAAATTCTGCTTTAAAAATAGCGCGACGCAAGCTACGTCACAACGCATTTAATCGATAAATTCACCCAAGGGAGATTTTTCATAAGACGTGCAAAAGTTCTCTATTATTATTTTTTTTTTTTGAATTCTAGAACAAAAACTAAGTATATTAACACTGTTTTGGAGAGCATTTGAGTTTTCGTTAATTTTTTATAAAAAAAAATAAATTCAGCAGTATTTCAAACGCTCAAAACACCCGCCGAATATGACGTCATTTGCTACAAGTAGCAATGATACACTACAAATTAGTAAATATTGTAACGTTGCCAGATTGTCGTTGCTATTGCTGATTTTCAAGATTGCCTTTAGAAACCTGGTTTTTGTCCTTGTTTTGTAACCCCTTTTGTTAATAAATTAACAAAAGGCACATAATATGCTCGGTTTGCTCAGCAAATTATTATTATGGGTGGGTTGATAGTTTAATAAGTACGGAATGGCAAGGGCGCCACTGATTTTTTTTTTTTTAAATAATTAAATTTCATAAAATATTGGGATGTGAAAATTCGGAAACACATCTAGAAAATCATCAGCAATCGGCAATTGCTAATTCTGAAAAGGAAATAAATAAGGCACAAAACTCAACTTAATCCTGATACAGGTAACCCAATGAAACAATTAGGTAAGTTTCAAATTAAATTAGCGTATATTTCACAGTGAGGTGAAAAAAATCAAGTGAGTATTGAATAATCTCGAAGTATAAACTCAATTATTGTTGGTAAAACACTTTAAATCAAATCAATAAAAAGAGGTTAACTTTCAATCAGATTCATCAGGCTCACAAAAAAAAAATATATATAATAACTAGGTATGCACTTCACTATAATTGCCATATAAATTCATTAACAGTCGCTGGCCATATCATTGTCATGATATGCAAATATAAAAGATTTAAATTTCCAGAAAACTAATTAAAAAAAAATTTAATGATTGAAAAATTGTATTGATAAAGATGGTCGCTTCTGTTAAAAAAAAAAAACAAATTCAATAAAATCAATTTGTACCTGTAAGAAATCGAAAGTTGGGTTATACAGAGTGTCCCAGGGAAAACAGTCCACCCCAATTTATTGGATTTGGGGGGGATTTTTGATTTAAGGGGGAACTATTTTTCAGTTTTCATCCCCGTAGCTTGAACCCCTAGGGGCAGAACAACCCTCCAAATTTGAATAGGGGATAGAGTCTTGTCATACCTCATTTTAAAGGTCCCATCAAGATCTTCATGGCCCTAGAATTTCATCTTATTATTTTGATCTCTAACGAATTGACAGCTTGTCAAAATCTTGGAAATAGACTATTGTTTTAGGGGGAGTAAAAGTGATACTTACCTCCCTTACGCAACTTTATTTCGTTAAAATAATGCCTAACGGCTGATAAGGTACTTTTACCACGAGAACGTTAATCACACTTGAGGAAGATGGCTGGCCCAAGCCAGGATCGACCTCTCAGCTCGACCGCCGGAATTTAAAAGGACTATAGTCGGGCCACCGAAGAAATATAGTTGTAAAACGATTACCTGCTAACCGACGCCTATAAATTATCCCGCAACCCTCTGAAGAACAGATCATTTCATAGTGGAGCGCATTTAGTTGATGTTGTTCGTCTGTGACATTGTGCTGTGATTCGCAGCAACAGGTAGGTATACAAAATATTTGATGGCCTTTTGGGCGGTCATGAAATTTTAACCTTTTAGGAAAAACATTTGGTGGGTCAAAGGTTTTAGAAAACAATTTCTAGAAGTT